TTATTGCAAAAACCATTTGGTTTGAGTGGTGATTCTGAATCAAACCATTAGTGTAAACATAAACACACAAAACCAGTACAATCTCTTTAAATTGACGTCAGCAATGTCGCATTTGTACAAAACAAGAAGTAAAAAATGGACATATTTATTAAGACATCTCCATTTGCTTGAAAATCACTTGTGAATCACAACAAACCTCTATGTTAGACTGGAAAAGCTTTTAACGTAAATGAACAGACAAAGAACAAAAATAGTTGATCTTGAAATAGAAGCATTATTCAAATGTGAATCAAATCATTATGGTATAAGATGGTTTGATCGGAAATTCTATAATTGACTCTAAAATGTTTTGAATGTTTAGCAGTTGCATAAATTTTTGTTGCTGTTAAAAGCTATTTTGTTTTCAAATAAGCATGAAAATATTTCTTCAGAAACATTAATATTTAAAACATTAACAATAATGTATATCATCTCATGTAACAGAACACATGTATGTTCATGTATGTTCAGAAAACAAGAGTAAGCTTTGAAATACAGCATGCATTAATTATTATTTCTATTTAGAAGTAAGGTCTATAGATTTATCTGATATCTGTAGTGCCAGGGCTTAACAAGGCCGTTGTAATAACTAACTCAATTGTCACCTGAAGGCAGAAAAATCATTATAGCTCATTATATATTTTATCCAGAAATAATTAGAACTGCATCTATTTTCCATGACAGCAACATGAGTATTGACAAACGTAGTATGGTAGTTAGCAGGAAATATCGCTAGATTGCGTCGTCTTGTCCAATATTTAGAAATAAAGCCATACTCTACGTTCAATAAATCTAATACCACAAATGTCAATCGGTGACCGTTTTAGCGTCAGAGAAGATAAGGCGTTGAATATTGTTGTAGAAACACGGTGATGATTTCTCTTCTTTATGTGTTATGATTTGTTCTAACTAGAGTCTAGTTGGATTATATTAACAACTCTTTACTGTGGATTTTATAAGAGTATATAAGATGATTGATATGAAATTTTCATTCTGTGGAAAAGGGTTTGTTTTAACAACGTAAGTACTATATAAGAACTACATTTTTTTCTACAGGTAAATTTTATTGTGTCAGTATGGATAATGACTGATCTGAATTTTTCCATACAATATTGAAATAAAATAGTAGATCAGATGGCTACTTTTGAACCAAACTTCAATGAACTTAGTCTGAGAATTTGAATATTTAAAAAAATACTTCTGTTTTCTTTCATATGTTTTTAAAAAAAACAACTTGTAATGCTCAGTAGACTTAATAATTGTATACTTGTTCCAACTTTGAAAATTATTTTCACATTTTGATAGCTATTATAGGCTTATTATTTGTGGAATCAAAACCACATGTGTTCTGGGTCAGTTTATGCCCTGGATCCCTTTCCACAAAAAATCTTAGGATAAGAATTTATTGTAAGTGCAGAATTTTACATTGAGAAATACCATATTTACTACAAAATTTAATTTTTTGTGGAAGGGGTCCCAGGGCCTAATTTGAAATTTGAATGAATGAAACAGTTATTCTATTGAAAGACAAGTATGACATGATTACCATCTTTATCTGATGACTTTATGATAGCTTTTTGATTTTATATTTTTTTTAATATCCTGCTCTCAAGTGTATTTCTTTCAAAATGATATTGTATTTCATGATTTTTCATGGCCAATGTAACAACTGGGTAGTTTTGCACCAAATGCCTTGGAGAATCTTTGATCTTTTTGTAACAGGTTCAAATTTAAACGAACAATGAGTCTATAATAGGTTTAGGAATCAAGCTGAAAGAATAATGACTTCTGAGAATTCTCTCAAGATTTGTCTTCATGATTTACAATTTCTACTAATTGGACAAAAGTGTATTTTCTATTGTTTTATAGAACAACCTTTAAATAATGACTTTTTGACGTTTTTTCTTCTCGTTAGAAATCAAAGTGACTTTTCTTGATGTAAATATCGATTTTTGATTGTTTTGAAATTGTTTTTGTTGTTAATTTATGTCAAATACAATACTTTGATCAGCATAATATGTTAAACACAACAATTCTATAAACAGAAAGTGTACAAAAAATACTGCATTAAACATAATATGTCAAACAAAATACTTTGACGAGCATAAGGTGTCAAACAAAATATTTTTATAAACATAATAAGTCAAATACAATACTTTGATGACCATAATATGTCAAGCACAAGACTTTGATAAACATACTTTGTCAAACAAAATACTTTAAACATAATATGTCAAACACAACACTTTGATTTACAGACTGTGCAAAAAGAAATACTTAGATATTCATTTCAAACACAACACTTTGATAAACAAAATATGTCAAACAAAATACTTTGATGAACATAATACGTCAAACATAGCACTTTGATAAACAGAATGTACAAAAACAATACTTAGATATTCATAATATGTCAAACACAATATGAACATAATTTGTCAAAAACAATACTTTATTAAGAATGAAAATCCATGGATACATAAAAATTCATGTTTGTTTTATGAGAAACAGTATTAATTTTCCTTTTTAGTTATTTATTGATACACATGTTAAATCATTTGCTAAAATCTGTTGTAAAATCTAGGTTAATACAATTGATGATTACAGATTATTCTTAAGGATGCTTGTATAATGTTTATTGTTTAGATTGTTTTCTGTTAACCTGCACATCAGTTCTGTAATAAGATTTATAACAAATGAAAGGTTATTTCATCTGTAAAAACACGCAGGTTAGACAAAATGGTGACTAGAGGCCAAGAAAGTTGATTTTATTAAAACTTTTAAAACACACAGTGAATGTATTTGCTTACTTAAATAAGAAGTTTTCAATATAAATTCATTTTTCTGCCTTGAATTACTTTTTTGCAAAATTGTTCAAGTAAATTTCTACTTTGTTTCACGCATAATTTTGAAAAAAAGTTAATCAATATACTGTGTTATTATAAAAAGCTTTTTAAAAGAAATAGAATTTTTAAGCAGATATAAAGCTTAGGTCTCTTTAGCATAGTTAAAAAAAATATAACCTATTGTTCTATTCAAACCATTGAAATACAGGGAATAAAACACCGGTAGAAATTATTCATAATAAGATTAGAGCTTTAGACCCTAGATCCAGACAACATGAAATAGGAAAGGATAAAAGGGATAAATAGACATAAATTCATAGATTCACAGTGGGTCAATAATTGTTGGGTAGCAATCACAGTGGGAGGAAGGCAATTTTCTTTTTATATCCCTTCCCAATAAAGGGAATTAAGAGATCTAACATCAGTAAGGCATAGAAAGGCTGTAGAAAAATTTGGGTTCACAGTGTAATTGTCTTGTAAACCAGCATGTTTATGGAATATCATTACATAGGTTTAGAAAGACTGTAGTAAATTTCAAATTCACAGCCTTAATTGTCTTGTAAACCATCTGAAATATGGCAGAATGTGTGTAAAAAGGAATATCTTTATTCCAAATTGTATTTTTAACATTACAAGGGAAGAGAAAGACGGTAGAAAAATTTGGATTCCACAGTCTTGTCTTGTAAACCAGTTTGATTATAACAGAATGTGTATTAAGAGGAATATCCAAGGCTGTAACTAAGGTCTTTGATTAAAAAATCCTGTTGTCTTTGAAGTCAGACATGTCTCTTAACTCAATGCTTCTATATAATTCAAACTGTAACCACTGTCGATTTTTTAAACAAAATTTCTATATTGTCAAATTTGTCTTGATGTAGTAACAGACCTAATATCTTGTAAGTCTTGGTTTGTATATTGCGATGATTGATTATAAACTTCTTATATTGCTGCATGTAATATAGACATATCTTATCATTGTCTGTCCATCTCTTTCCAGATCTCATTGAAATTTGATATGCTAATGTATGTGGATTAGATAGTTGTTGAGTTAATGTCCATAACTATTGGTAAAAATTTGATTGGGTTGTAATGAAAAGGTATAAATCTTTAAAGCAGTTCTAAACTGTATCTTGACTGTCTTAATGACATGTCTCACATGACATTTGGTGTGCAAATTTTCATGATTTTAGCCAGGAAATCATTAAAACTACCTGTATGGATAACGCTAGTCCACATTTCTCTGGTTTTGGTTGATATATGTCTGGTTCTGATTTGTAAGATGGAATTGTGGTGTACAACTGACTATATATATTTATAGTACATCATCTACATCACAATATATTGAATAAAGACAAATCAGTCAAATATATCATTGTATTTTTCTCTTTCAGTAGAAGACACAATTATTAGTAGAACCAATAACTGACTGATATTAATACATCAACGCTGAGATCAACTAGATGGTTGGAATCATGTGATTGTTTTGATTTAGACATAGTGATTGGGATGTACATTAATATTTTTAATGGAAAATGTGGACTATAATGGATAATGTTTTTTGAGATATATCTTTACATACACTAAAACACTGTTAAAATAATTTGGATATAGAAATTGGGAGTAATTGAAGTAGAGTATATATTAATTACAGTTCCATTGTATTCCAATATATTTTGTGATTGTCACAAAAAAGTTTGTGACATATTTTTAACCACATAAAATCACAGAATAAAATGTTGATTAATTATTAAGATGACTAATTTAGAATATTTATACTATAGAAAGTGATTGTCGTCTGCTAGATGTTTCTGTGAGAATTGGTAAAACAAAGGTTATTTCTGGAAATTAATCAAAGGAACCAAATCAGTGACAGTCAGTTTTGAGAAATAATACAATCAAAGTGTGGTAATAGGATTAAAGCCTTGTTTAATTCTGGTAAAAAGTGAGTGAAATATATAGGTTAATAGTGACGAAGTATTTGATTTGTTTTGATTAGTGGAATTGTAGATGTGTGAGATTACTATTGAGACAGTTGATGTTATTACAGAGCAGCGTAATAAAGGCTGTTGTCAACGGGCATGTAGTATATTCCGATGTAATATGGATGTGTTATCCATGTTAAAACATTCTATAATATCAGACGACAGCAACCCTATCCTCAAACACTATGATTTGCAGCGACAAGTTGGAACTGCAGGTCCAGAAAATGTCTGGAAAATATTTGAAGCTATTCGGCTCGAGGATAGCAAGGTAAGTAATTCTAAGTTTATTGCTTTTTCATCACATTATTTCAATGTATCAAATTTTATACCAAGTTTGTTTGTTAAACTGCCTGCTTTTTATTACAATATATTCAAAATGTAAATGTCAAAAGTTGCTTATTTATTGTCAAGAAATGGTATATATGCTTTTAGATTCAAAATATATGCGAGACTAATAAATTTGGTTTTGAAGTAGAATAAATATTAATTGAAACTTTACAAGCCAGACTTATATAATATAATTAACGATCCTAATAAAAAAATGATTTATTCAGTACCCTAGCTGAAGAGCACAAATGTTTTTGTTCAACTATACTGTAACTAGAGCTGGGTATCGACTACAAAATTCAGATGTTATCAATAGCAGATTACCAATCAATAATCGATTAATAATCGAAATAATTTAATTGAGAAACCCTGTTAATACTAAATTAAAAACATGCCAAAATTCTGTATTTTTTGGGTCAATTCTGCGTCATTCAAGTTTATTCTTGCCTTTTTGTACTTAAGGGAACCTATGTGAAAGAGATTATGACATGTAATTTGGACATATAATCGATTATGAAATTTGATAATCGATTATCAAAATTATACATTCGTAGCAACGATAATTGATTATTTCAATCATTTTACCCAGCACTAACTGCAGTAGGCCCTAGTTCAAAAGTAAATGATAATAGGCATGAGTTTTTGTCTTAGATATCTCAGAAGCAGAATGGCATTGATTTTGTGGTACAATAACTAAGCAATAACACACATTTTATGGTTTAATCCATTTGATACCATTCAAAGGAAAATTTGTGTATTTGAAAACCAAGAACTATGATGTTATAGCTTAAAAATCATTGAATACATGTCAAATCAAAGAAGTATATGTTCTGTATTATTTCAAGACAAGCTGATCAAAAGGAATAAAATGGAAATTAAAAAAATGTTGAAAAAAAGACTGTATTTTATTGACATTTTTTATGAGAATAAACAAGACAGACTAGAACTTGATTAATTGAAATTTTGAAATATGTTGAAAGATGAAACATTGTTTATATAAGAAAATGAAATTATATTATAAAGATGAAGTAATAGGACTAGTGAAAGCTTTTATCCACTTTATGATTTCCTGCCTATGTTTAAAATGTCAGGAGAATTGGTTAACAAGCAGACATCTAATTAAACAAGAAATGACATCAATCAACTTTGGCGACTTTGCGCTAAGGAAATCTTCAATATATTGAGTTTCAGAGTTTTTAACGAAGAAATTATGTTACTTTCAGCTGCCTTTCTCTTGCTATTATTAACATTGTCTGAAAGGATTAGAGATTCTATTTTAACGTTATTACCAAATATCAAGAGAGATCCTTGGTCATTTCATTTCATTGTCTAGCTAGTGAAAGTCAATTGACAATATATGAATGGCAGTAATAACTTGAATAATAAACTCATTGAATATAGACACACTGACGTAATACTGTTGCTGGTGCATTAATTGAAGAAAAGTGACTATCTAATTTATTATTTGAATCAAGAGTATCGTTAGGGATTTTATCTCAAGGGGCTTGTCCTGAGGGAAAGGCTCTAAAATATTCAAGAATTTGGGACAATTCAGACAGCAGTGACCGTTAAGCTAAGCTAAGCTTTCTATTTGTTTTGATGGCAAGGCTTACGACTCTGGTTTCCCTGACATATCTTAATGTATTTTATCCTTTGCTTTTTAAATATTAAATCTGTGGGATTGTATGAGAATAAAGATTTCTGGGATAGTATGAGAATTAAAATCTGTGGGATTGTATGAGAATAAAGATTTCTGGGATAGTATGAGAATTAAAATGCCTGGGATAGTATGAGAATTAAAATGCCTGGGATAGTATGAGAATTAAAATCTGTGGGATTGTATGAGAATAAAGATTTCTGGGATAGTATGAGAATTAAAATGCCTGGGATAGTATGAGAATTAAAATTCCTGGGATAGTATGAGAATTAAAATGCCTGGGATAGTATGAGAATTAAAAATGCCTGGGATAGTATGAGAATAAAGAAACGCGGGATAGTATGAAAATTAAAATGCCTGGGATAGTATGAAAATTAAAATTCCTGGGATAGTATGAGAATTAAAGATTCCTGGGATAGTATGAGAATTAAAATGCCTGGGATAGTATGAGAATTAAAATGCCTGGGATAGTATGAGAAATAAAGATGCCTTGGATAGTATGAAAATTAAAGATGCCTGGGATAGTATGAGAATTAAAATGCCTGGGATAGTATCAGAATTAAAATGCCTGGGATAGTATGAGAATAAAGATGTCTGGGATAGTATGAGAATTAAAATGCCTGGGATAGTATGAAAATTAAAATGCCTGGGATAGTATGAGAATAAAAATGCCTGGGATAGTATGAGAATTAAAAATGCCTGGGATAGTATGAGAATAAAGAAACGCGGGATAGTATGAAAATTAAAATGCCTGGGATAGTATGAGTATTAAAATGCCTGGGATAGTATGAGAATTAAAATGCCTTGGGTAGTATGAAATTAAAATTCCTGGGATAGTATGAGAATTAAAATGCCTGGGATAGTATCAAAATTAAAATGCCTGGGATAGTATGAGAATAAAGATGTCTGGGATAGTATGAGAATAAAGATGCCTTGGATAGTATGAAAATTAAAATGCCTGGGATAGTATGAGAATTAAGATCTTGCCAGTAGGAGGTTTATGAAAAAAAAAAAAATAAGCAACTATATATATATATTATGATATGAACCTTTCCAAATCGCAGTCAGTTCACAAACTGACAGAAGTTGGTAACTTATAGAATAGTAGTCTGAACCTGATGTAGGATTATAATTCTTAATCATGCCAAAGAAAATTGATCTCTGGTCAGAAATTTGATCTTAAAAGGCAGAATTGTTCATAATTTTGGGAATGTCAGGTTAATAACCATAAGGAATAAGCGATTTTTGTTGTTGAATACATAGAAAGGATTCAAAACCATTTTATTACAGATTGTTGCATAATTTTGAAAAATATTGTGATATTTTCACCATTAATAACTTTAATTTAAACTGTCTTTCTTGGCTTTGGTCTGTCAATTATTTAGTTTAATGATTTATTTATTAATATTTTATAAAATTTTTTTCACCGATATAATTGCTGTTGTTAAATAGGTAAGAAAACAAAGCTTATATATAAGGAGGAAAGTGTCTCTGTGTTGCTATGACAACTGTCTAACAGTTATTCTTTATGGTCAAATCTCTTTGCACTGATCTGATTATCTGTACCTATTCACAGCTGCTATCAGGATGCTACTTCACAACCATCATTATCTCCTTTTACTAGGCAAATGACAATCGTATGACAGTACTAGCACTCTAGCAGACATCATCTCGGTTGGTAATGGACATTAATCTGAAAAACATTTGTTTTCATTTACATATTCAAGAATTGTTTTAACTTGCAACATGCAATATTCCTCAGTCATATTTTGTGAAAAATCTTAAGACTTATTGATAAATCAGTATTAATTATTTGGTAATTATTTGGAGTTCAAATGTACAGTGTACTCTGTGATATCTGAGTTTTCTGACATTTCTGACATCTTTTTCTGGTTCAGATTAATCTCCTTCTTATGTCAGTTTAAAAAACTCTGAGTACTCTGACATTCTGTGTATTACAAATTACGACACTAATCAGTGGTCCTGACACAAATAAAAATCTGTATTATCCAACATCTTGTCACCTTAGTCACTTATCGCCAATTAGATAATCACTTGTATTATTGATAATCCAACATAAAAATAAAAGATCGCAGATACGTGAAAAGGATCTATTATGGTGATTAATCACTTTCAAGATCAAGGTCATTACTTTTAGATCAAATGGCTTGGGTCATTTTCAGAGGTACCCGTGTCATTTATTACATCGTAACTACGGAAATATGAAACCTGACCATTCGTGTTTTTTTCCACAATTATCAAGCAATTAATGTTAATCTTCCTGCGAAGCATTTCCGTTCTTATGTTTCTCTGGCTATGAAACAGCAGTGCCCTCCCCAACGAGGCAGAAAGATTAAGATATGAAATTTGTTTAAGGTAGAAGAACAATAAGTGGTATTTTAAACCGAATGAGGAATTTTAATAAAATGTTTTCCGACAATATTAATTCCAATAAAAAGCTCATGTGTGGCTCAAAATATGAACAATTAGTTAATAATAACATATGAATTGTCTTTTATTATATTTTCTTGTATTGTAGAATCTTATCTGGCTCACTGAGATATATATAGTAAGTATGGCACATGTTTAAAAAATCTCAGAACTTTGAGTACTCCGGCACTCTCGCTAATCACATATTGTTTTACAGTTTCAGTGTATATCGGATTACACAGAGTACACAGTATTGATGTCCAAATCCTGTAGGCCTGTCGTAGGCCTGTCCTGTAGGCCTGTCCTGGGTCCAACATAGGGATATTTCATGAAGGATGAATTTTACTAAACATTCTTTGAATCCGACCAATTTATAAAAATTTAAATCTTCAGCCTCACAATAAATCAGCAATTATCTGGATGAACTAAACTGACAAAATTTTGTTTATGGTAGTGGTAAAAAAAAATGGAAATCAATATTACAGCAGCCATTAAAATAACCATCAGATTGAGTAATCTGACTAATCTAACCCTACCCCTTGTACTGTATTGTGGTACTTCATGGGACCTTAGGATATTGTAGAATATCCGGTAATATCTTAATGGTTCAGCTTTTTATAGCTACCAAAAGTTATACCAAATTTGTCTCTTGTCATAGTGACATTGTTAAAAAAAACAAAAATGGATTGCATCTACTCTGACAAAAAGTGACATTTTATGTGCAGCCGTAATCGTACCAATATATATTCAGTAAATCATGTTTGTTGAATGGGTAGCACCAGATTTGTCAACTACAGATCCAGTATATTTTATAGGTTAGCAAATTAAAGATCAAGTTTTATAATGATACATTATTTTGTTTGCGTTGTCAGTTGTTTTCTTGTACATTCCTGTTAGAAATCAACTGATTGTTTTTAAACAAAGCCATTCAAATCAGCTAGACACATTATTTGTGTTTTCTTCTCGGAATAATGTCGCAAGAGTTTTTAATGCAATATTTTGTATCGACCAGTAAAATAGATGATAATCTAGTGAAATCGTGAGACGTGAAATTGAATAAGTCTGAAGAAAATTTGATTTTAAAAGGAATAGATTTGGTATTAGTGTAGTTGAGATGAAGATAAAGTTCTAAATGAGGTTGTAGGAGTGTGACAGTTTTCATCAATGATATAAAATATAGTCCAAGAGTATTATTTAAACACTGTAATATACATCAATTTTATCTTTATCCCTGGTCCGAACTGTTCGACTCCAGATTTTATTACCCTAAACTTATTACGATACCTCTTAGACAGCAAGGCGAAAAATTAAGAGCCATGAAAAATATATAGGGCCAAGTGAAAAATTAAGATCCATTAGAAAAATTAGAAAGTTAATGAGCTGTTAGAGAAATTAAAAGCCATGAGAAAAATTAAAAATCATGAAAAAAGTAAAGAGCCATGTAAAAATTTAGTGCCCAAAACATAGACAATAGTCATTATTGATAATCAAAATTGCACCAGGAAGGATACACTGTTTTACACAAAAATGTCTCTCTGACACTCTCCCAGGCGACAAGCCGTCAAAATCATCTGTCAAAAGCCAGTTTGTTTGTGTGTATAGCATACAGTTTCTTACCATGGAAAGGGTTTGCCTAACTGGTGTTGTGTGTTATACACATTTTAAAATTTTCATCATAGGTTCCCTAGTCAATATCAACGACCTGCCATTTTGTATTTGATCGCTGATTGTAGTTTCTTGTAATGGTACCACAAGGGGTGTATGTTAGTATTTTCAGGGTGCTCATCTATTTCAGATGCCAGAAGCCAGTGTTCAAGATATTGGTTCATAGATATAGAACTATGTCAACCAAATCATGGCTTGGATGAGTATAAAAAATAATTGTCTGATAAGATTAGAATATTACTGAAAACGTAATGTATTGATAATGTTTTTCAAACTTTATACACATACTAATCTAATAGGATTTCAATTTTATTGTTGAAAATAATGTATTAAATTTAGTTTCTGATTTGATATTAAGCCATTATTAGTGTCTATGTATGAGAATTTAGAATTAGTGCCAACATTGTAAGATAAGGTACATTAGAGATATTGGATATTTTCATTTATTGAAAGTTAATTAGGCTCAATGAAGATTCCATTTGCCTCTAATTGACATGAACTTCTGTATTGAATGATAAGAGTGTAGGTTAGTGCCAGTGTTTAAAGCGATAGTAATGTAACAAGAATTCAAATTGATGCAAATAACTGAAAAGAAAAGCGTGAATTTCCATGATTGGGATTTTGTAAATAATGACTTCGGAAAATTTTGAAAAAAATAAGAAGAAAATTCATAGAGAAAGTCATTCTGTTCCTGGAATTTTGCAGGATATCATTTCTTAGCTTACAGATGTGCCATAAGCCAGATGCTTGCCTGCTAACTGGGGTTTGTTCCTAACATAGGTTGGGATAGTAGCTTGAATGGGAAAAAATCTTAAGGTTCAGATGGGACTGTAATTTGAGGCCCTGTGTGTGACAGGCTGATCATGAAAAAGATACTTCTACAGATTGAAATTTCACAGGAACAGGATCAATACCACTGTCCTGGCAGAATTACCCTAGAGGCATAGATGTTGTCCATCTTCATTAGGTTTCTTATCTTCATTAGCCAATTCAGGATTTAAAAATTAGGAGGTAGTACCCCTTTTCATTCATTGTGTAGTAATTTGTCAATAATCAGTCTAATTAAAATTGAACATTAGCTTTCGTCAAATTAACCTTTTGACCTAACTAGATGACGTCTGCTTTAACCAATCAAATTTCTACCCTCTCCAGGGCTGTGTTTACCAGATAAGATCAATAAATTAATTTGATCTTTTAAGTGGGCTGTGGTTAGACCTGGACTGAAGGGGCCATATTAAAAATAAAAGCTTATAAAAAAACGTAACGAAATTTCGGGTTACAGATGGTAATCTGCATGATGAACATAATGAATTTGCACAACATTGGGATAATAACACTGGCCTTGAAGTAAATATGTGTAAAGTTATGAAACTAATATAAAATGAAACTTTGAAAGGATATATCAACAGAAGCATTAGATAATACAAATTTATAACAGTTAAATCAGTCTATGTTAAATAAAGTGAGGAATCCCAACAGGTTCAGGTCCCCTGTGAATTGTCAGATATAAAAATAATAAATCATTGTGGATGACTAAATGACATTGTTCAGTACCAATATATTGTCTGTCTTGTCTCTATATACCATTATTCTCCTTTAAATATTCTTCAACAGTAATAAAAGCTGATCTATCGATTCTTCACCATAGTAAAAACAAATGATAAATCTGTGTCATGGTTTTACCAACCTGTGTTCAATAGCTTGATAAGACAATCTTTCAAACTTTTTTTTTCTATATCAAGAGAAAACCTAATCCCTCATGGGAAGGAGCAAATAAGATGGTTAAAAGAAGTGACAAACTAATTACCGGTAACAAAAAGGAGAAACTGCATAATATCAATGTAGAATTAGCTTGCTTTATGGACAAGTATTTGACAAAGCAAATATTCTGAAGAACATGGATCCCCTAGCTCAACAACACTTATGGTTTTTGCCTGGAAATCTTGAAAGCTTATATGAAGCGTATCGTTAGGAATTTGGCATTGGCAAACTTTAAACTGTAAACATTGCACTTGATCATGATGCACATATTGACTAAATTGTTAACTGAACCCTGAGTGTTAGTGGCATATGACCACACTTAGTAACAACCGGTCGCATAAGTTGGTGACTTGAAAGGGTTAACAAAAATATTGTAGAATTTTTAGCAGTATTGAGTACAGAAGTATAAGAGCAGACACAGTCCTCTAGATAATACATCTATATATACAGTTGTCTCTATCAGTGTAAACAATCAATGCCAGTGTATAATTTTCTAATTTGAATGCATGGAACTTATTTTTCTTACACAATGAAATAAGATACATGTATTATGTATTCTGTATAATACAAGAATTAATGCCCTATTTTTGTTGGTTTCAAACCATCTAACAGTAATGGCAAATTAATTACTTTTAGATGAATGATAGACCTATCAATCTAAGACCTTGGTATTATTTTGGTTTCATTCATTGTACTTCAAGGAATTAAATCTGCAGACTTACATCTCTGACTGAATTAGAGCAGTAGCCTAGATTTAAAACTTTCTTCATCAGATCATTCTAGGTTACATATTGATCATGTCTTTACATCATTAAAAAGGAAATATATAGTGTCTAACCAAGTTAAGTGCTTTGTCCAACATATATGTCAAGAAAGAACCTAGATGTTGTAACCCGATTGTAATCGTAGTACATGTCAGAGGGCCGGATCAAAACAGTTTCTAGTCTTCTGAATAAGACAAGATCCAGGGACAGAAATTGAAAATGATGTCACTGTCCTGGTACATATCCCTCGTTACACATTTCAGGGTATTGCCTTTATTCATTATTTTAGTGCGTAAAATCATTGCTAACATGAGTGAATAGCTATAATCCAAATCTTGAACAATGTTGAAAATTTGATATTTTGCATCACATGGTCAGTTTTATTTGAAGTTCAGTTGAAAGTTAAAATTCTATCCACAGCATGGGTACTTTCCTTATTGCCTTTGAAATTGTAAACAAGAAATGCATACTGATTTTGTGTTGATTCTTAGCAACATAATTATTTGTGTTGTTTCTTAATAAAAGGAATTCAAATGTATAATTAATCAAATGTGAAACAAAAGAAATGCACTGTGTACTCAAATCTGTACATTACTGGATTTAAGATGTGGTTATTGGCAATTGAATTCTACAGACTGGAAAATATGTAGACGTAAAAGTTAATAACAAACAAAATCATTCAATTGTGCACAAGGTTTTAACTATGTATTTCATATTATTGATGGTTTTCCATTTATTGAAAATTATATTTGTATAACTGACAAATAATTAAATTGATTTTATAAATCATCTTGTAGGAAATATCTATTACAGTAAAATTCTGTCTGTATGTGTTGTTACGCTAGTGTGTTTTTACATGTCTATAGAAATTCATTTTTCGTTGAAGTCTGGCAATATAACTTGGTTACAAGTTAGAGCAATAGACATTACACTGTTTTCTGAACAAAATCAGTATAGTGTATGTTTATTAACAATCCCAATTAATTATTTTGAATAATACGGTGAATAATAATTTTGAAAACTCAAATACATCTTTAACCACAGCCATCCTTTGAATTTATAACCCATTTTCATAAGGGGACTTCACTTGCCATTCATGGTCTTGACAAATTTCTATATCAACTCATGTTCGGTCCAATTTTATCTCCATGGAATTTCATTAGATCAGATATAGGCAATGGAGTGTTGCACAAAGAAAACATGACACAAAACAACTGGGTCTGTGTTGTTATCAGAATGGCAAGAATTGATCATGAATATGTCAGATCCCATACACTGGACTTGTCAGCTAAAAGATGTTAAAAGAGGTGGTGATATATTTACAGTGGAGCCCTGTTGGTGATAATCTGAAAACATGCATATTTATCATGTAAAATAACCCATTAATGATGATCTGGTTAGTATTTCTTCATGGCTGTGATTATATAACCTAAATAAAGAGCTACTGAAAGAGCTAGACAAATCTGGATAAAATTCTGTATCAAAACTATTCTTTGATTTTTCAGGAAGCATCTGTGTTTTGGTTTGAGAAGAAAGTGGCTGATAAATTACACAAACCCAGACGTAGAGAAACTGTATCAGAGATTTTACGCAAGGATGTTACACAGCTATCGCGAATACGACATCCAAAAATTATTTCAATCCAACATGGGGTGGAGGAGTGCCAGTAAGTTTGCTTTTTATACATTTCTTAGTTAAAGTTCAACATGAAAATAATAGAAATGTGACAACAAGCATTTTCATAAACAATTTCACAAAAAAAATTCTTTCACTTCGAATATTTGAAGACTTTGAATAGAAATACAGACTTAAGCATACAGAAAACACCCAAATGTTAATGATCCAAACCACTTTATGAAACTCCAAATCTTATAACATATCTGCAACACAAAACATTTCATTTGAGGAAGTATTTCATGATGAAACATATTATCAGATGTCTGGAAGACTTAGCATACTCTGCCTGATGCAAACTCCTTTAATGACTCGGTGAAGGTCAACCATAAAATTATATATCACATTTTCCAAAACTAGCTAGATTGACTGAATCACAGAATTACAAAAGTAACTGAATTGTTCTCAAAATGGTCTCCAAATAGCCTCCAAAGACCTACAATGTATCTGTATTAGCTATGACTGTTGAACTATTATCAATGGAATACTATCATTTGATAAATAGTTAAAATTCTATGATATTACATTAATACTAAATATTTCCCCAAGTAAAACATGCACTTTATTTATGGGATAGATCAATATATATTTTTCCAATAATTTCTGGTTGAATGAATATATCATTACAAATCTTATTGAATAGCCTGAAGACTCTATGATGTCTTTGTATTGATAATTATAATTCCATAAAGAAATCAGTAATTGATGATGAACTTTACCAGTTGGAGAATTTGACCTATGTGAACTGAAGTAATTTGAATTCTGGATTGTTAAAGAGCATTAGTGTAACTCTAATTAATGTTTTCACATAATCAGCTTACATCTAATCTTATGTTACTAGAATCAGAAGTTATATTTGAAAAATTTGATTTTTTTAAATGATATGCTGTAGAAGTAATTTGTTAAGCTTTAAAGTGCACAAATTGTATATGTGGCTTCTAAAGAATTAAACTTGATATACTTCAAGTAAAATGTTAGGAGAGGAAAAACTATATGAAATATTGGGCACATGGGCTTTTGAAAAAAGTTGACAACATGATTATTCTCTATTGAGGATATGTTTTTATGACAAAATTCAAAGCCTAAGCAGACAATTTAACCAGTAAATTCAGATATGTTGTTAAGTAATATTAAATTTACACTTGCTTTCTAGTTAGACCCAATATTTTTGTATGCAATCACATATTACTAGAGAGTAGTCAACCATACTAGACAATCAGGACTTGTTTTTATAAAATTGTAACTTTAAAATAATCGTAAAGATACAGTATGAACATTGAGTGGTCATTGCCATGAAATTATTGACCAATCAGAAATTTGACAACAGGCTCCTGAATGCGAGGTTACAGATGCTTGCCTTGCAATGAACATTTAAACTATGTTAATTCACTTAATTCGTTTGCTATTTATTCAATAAACGTGATGTCGGTTTACTTAGATATTCTAGTCTGTAAAAAATTCTAAAAAAAATCAGTCTAATTATCTGAACTGTCTTGAAATCAAATTAGTTTATTGGCATGTATAATCTCAGGGGGATATATAGATAGGTTTGCTGGGTTTCCAGAAAAACATGACTACGTTTGAAATGTGTGTATTAATTTGGAGATAGTCTCTAGAGAATTACAGCCGTCTTGGAAACTTTGATTTGACAAAATGATAACTTGATGTTATTTCTAGATACACATTTCCTCAGAGTAAAATAAATGTTATCACATTAATTCTATTGCTTCCCCCTCAATTTCAACAAATTATTTTTATATAAAAGCCAAATTCTCTTGTCCGGATATTCAGATCAAGTATTAGAAAAAAATATAAAAAATTAATATTTCAATCGATTCCAAATTCCCTGAAGCAATCAACTGATAAATTTAGTTGCACTTTAGTTTCTGATACAAGTATTTTCTTCAGGAAATGTCCAGTGGGAGGAAGTATATTTTTTCTGAATTATGTATGTGATATCAGTGCAGATTATGTGGGATCTTCTGAGTTTTGCTGATCTTGATCATGTTTGAAGATTAATTTGGGTAACAATGATATAAATAACATGATAAAAATAACTAATTTGATTGGTTAATTGTGCATAATGTAACTACTATCTGCCCCCCCTATTCATTTTACTGTTTCAAACTCCATATCAAAATATATCTAAAGAAATGTCTGCTGTTAATAAAAGAAAGAAAAAGAACAACCCACATGATTCCATTTTAAGATTGATTTACTATAAGTTCATTAGAGAAGAAAGATGGATCAAATTTTTCTTTAATATAAATTTTTGCCTTCTTCAAGAAATGAGAGAAATGATAAATGGAAAAGATTTGAAAGTGGTTATTAAGAAACAGCATGGCCACAGTCTGCTTTTATTTCTTTCCCGAGCTTGATTTCCGTCATATAATGTGATAATAGAGAAAGAACGATGGTGGGCGAATTATTACCATTTTTATGGACAATTGCTAAGATATTTCTTAGTGATTGACTTTAGTCATGACTTCAAGATAGCTTGAAAGTTTCTCCCATCATTGCCAAATACTTTTAGAGTTGAATTTTCATCTTGGCCATCTTAGCAAGGCTCCATTGGTCTTCAGTAAATGAAAGTTGTGTGACTCTGAAAGACTGGTTATTTGTTAAGTTTCAGAAATCAGTCTACCTTGAAGATATCAATCTAAAAGTGTTTAGAAAGGCCCAGTTAGTGTTGACATGACGTCAAACTCACTGATACAAAATCTTCTGACCTATAATTATGACAGAGGCAGACAATTATGGTTTCATTATGGTGTCTGGTCACATTATTTAAACAGATTATGACTTGATGATGTTGAGGGGAATTGATGAGGTCAGAGTTATCAATGTAATTTAGAGGGGTGAGCATGTCAGAACATCTTATCTTCCTCTCAATTTATCGACTAGTATCTTGTTCAAACATTCAATTATTTACTTGCACGTTTCTGTCTGTTAGCTTAGCTTTACTTTAATAACTTCAGGTCTAAAAGATAAAAAAATGAGCCTCGTTACAAGATGTTGTATGGGAAGAAATACAGATTTCCCTTCCAGTTTACTATTTTAATACTAACAACCTCTGTATCATTCATCGTTTACCGTGGTATATACCCAAGCGGCCATTACCAAGCGACATCACATAATGTTAATGTCATTCACTTTAATTCACATTATTTTATATTTTAATGATTCTTTCAACTCTCAACATGAGAAACTCACTAGCAGAATGGCATCATATTCTAGTGGATCATCATGAGCCCAAATCTAATAAGCTGAAGATTGACTTCAGGAACTATAATATTGTCTATCAGCAGAGTTTTTGAACCGTTACATGTTATAGAATATAATTATACCATGTTAACATTAATATCTATGTGGAAGTCATAAGGGATGCGTATTAATACATTGTATTAAATTTGCAGAATAAAGGTGTATTTTGGGAACAGTATTGATATAAAGTAACCAAAGTCTTAAAGAACCAAGTCTTCAACATTAATTTCATTGAGTAGCCATTTTTTCTTAGCTAAACCTCATTTCTGACTAATAGTCTGATCATGAAACAGTCTTAAAACTTTGATTACTGATTGGCCGCTAATAGTAAAGAGCAGAAGTGGTTTTATTGTGTACTTAGCCAGACGTCCAATCTTGTGAAACGGATATTAAATATTGTCTGACCAATGGGGATTTCATAATGATTACAAATGGCTTTATCCAATAACTGTACTGTAGCCAAAATAAATACAGACATCATTGAAGGAACTATTTCCGAATGGCACTACTGACAGATTAAAAGATGTAAGGCAATAGATTTGAAGAAGATACAATAATTCCTTTTCTTTATTAGTATTTCTACAAATAGATCTTGGTTGGCAAAATGATTTATTACGTAATGTGTCTCTTTTATTTTAGGGAATTAAACGGAAATTTTCATGCTTTTTCTAACTGATTGATTATTCTAGAATAGTGAGAGCATAATTAGCATCATCCAAATTTAAATAGAGCGTAAAAAAGGAAAAAAATAATGAAGTTAATTAATTGTTAGATTTGATAGATATCATTCACAAAGCTAAAATTAAACTAAGTTTAGCTTTTCTACAATAGTGATCTGAAAAAGTGTAGCTTGATTGGCAAGTCTCAGCTAGCCCAGTGGATGGTTACCCTTTACTACTATTGCAGGGCCGTAACTATATCAAGGTGAATGCCTCCTGATGGTTTTAGACAAAAAAGAGATTCTACCTTATGCTTGGCATTTGAGAGGGATGACATAATTAAATACAAATCAACCACCATAACGTTGTGTTGCATATTCAGAATGGATACCAAACTTCTCAGTGTTAGTGTATGGACATGACTTTATAAGGTTAAATTTATTGAAAGTAGAATTCTAGTTTTCTGAGTATATAATAAACTCATTTCACAGTATCTCATTACAATTGATTTGTATTTAATTATGTCATTCCTCTCAAATGCCAAGCATAAGGTAGAATTAGAGTCACTAAGATGTCAATCTCAAAGATATCTAGAATGTTGGTAGAGTAAGTTTATTTTGATGGATCTCTGAATGTTGGTAGAGTAAGTTTATTTTGATGGATCTCTGGATATTGATGGATCTCTGGATATTGATGGATCTCTTGATGTTGATAGAGTATTTTTATTTTTTTTTTTTTTTTGAAAGCTTTTATTACTAATAATAGCATATTTACAACTTATTTCTACTACAAAGATTACTAATAGTATTTGCAATAATATAGGTACAAATAATAATAATAATAATAATAATAATAATATAAATAAGAATAATAATAATAATAATAATAATAATATAAATAAGAATAATAATATAAATAAGAATAATAATAATAATAATAATAATAATAATAATAATAATAATAATATAAATAAGAATAATAATAATAATAATAATAATAATAATAATAATAATAATAATATAAATAAGAATAATAATAATAATAATAATAATAATAATAATAATAATAA